TGGGTTAAAAGTTAAAAAAAAAACATATTTAGAAATCGAATTAAAATATCCCTGGAAAACATGCACGATTTAGTTTATCTCCGCTAGGTGCGCTGGCTGTAGACTTACAAACACGCAACCACAAGCTAAGGGATACAGTAGTCTGTCACGTAACTTTGCAGTGGATTCGCCAGGGCACACGCGCTGGCTGTGGAATCAAGTCCTCCCCACCTGCACGCTCATAAATAGATAGATTGATAGATAGATATGCGCTGAGTGCATAGATAGATAGATAGATAGATAGATAGATAGATAGATAGATAGATAGATAGATAGATAGATAGATAGATAGATAGATAGATAGATAGCTATCTATCTATCTATCTATCTATCTATCTATCTATCTATCTATCTATCTATCTATCTATCTATCTATCTATCTATCTATCTATCTAGCTAGCTAGCTATCTACTCACCACCCTATCTGCCAACCTATCTACTTATCTATTATCGTTTTAATTCCGCTCCCTCTGTCATTCTTCATTCTGCTCCACTTTTTCATTCCCATTTATTCACTGGTGTACGTGTGCTATTTACTTATATATATTATATTATTATATGTTATTATTATTGTTGTTGTTGTTGTTATTGTTGTTTTGATTACAGCCACGACGGCGGCGACCATCTAGCCGTCACGTGACATCGCAGCAGTTTCTCCCCCCGCTCTTACATAAGACACCCTGGCGTCTGCCGCGCACGTGCCCCCTCCCCTTCCCCCGCTCTCACAGACCGCCCCCGCGTCGCCACACGCCGCCCTCACTGACCGCACGCGGCGGACGCTCGCGTCAGTCTACGCGGCGTATTTTGCAATAATAAACCGTGCCCGCTAGATAGTATTACAGGCAGCTGCGGGGACGCGTGTGCGCATGCGCAGTGGATGCTGCTGCTTCGTGGAGCGACGGGACAGGCGGTTAGGCGTGGACGTTGATCTTGTGTTGTGTTGCTAGCCTGCCAGCCAGCGTGAGCGAGAGAGCGTGTATAGCATCTGTAGATAGTGAGTGAGAAAGCCACTGTCGGTCTCTACGCCTGAATAGTAGTTGCTGTAGAGAGAGAGAGTGTGTGTGTATGTGGGGAAGCTGCTAGATTGCCTGCTGTTGAAGTGAAGTTAGCTAAGGATCTAGCTACGAAGGAAGCGAGCTCAAGATTCGCATCCTGAAGCAGGAGAAGCCAGAGAGGACGGTAGAGCCACTGACGACCACTACTCGCAGCAGTGCAGAGGAAGATAGAGAAGATCGAGGCCATATCTAGCGTCTCTCTCTGCTACAGAGGAAGCCAGAGAGAAAGCTAGAGCAGCTGCTGCCGGCCCTACTGCCCTGGCCCTCATCATCACTTGCAGATTCCGTGCGCCGGCTGGCGCGAAAACCCGACACGGAGCGACACCGACATTCCTCGCCAGCAGGGAGCAGGCACCAGCGAGGAAGAAGGAGAAGAAAGCGGAGGAAGGAGGGAGGAGGAGGAGGATGATGGCGGGCACGAGTTTGTTCGTGCTTCAGCGACCAGACACTAGCGTGCCGTGGGGATTCCGGCTTGTAGGGGGAGCCGACTTCGACACAAAGCTGATGGTGCTCAAGGTAAGGTTGCCAACATCGCCGCTGGAGGCCGCTGCGGGCCGGTTCCGGTTAGGACCGCGCTGCTGCTACTGCTGCTGCTACTGCTGTTGTTGCTGCGGTTTCTGCTGCTGCTGCTACTGCTGTTGTTACTGCTACTTCTGCTGCTGCTGTTGCTGCTGCTGTTGTTGCGTTCGTTGTACTGTTGTTGTTGTTGTTGTTGTTGTTGTTGTTGTTGTTGTTCGTGTTATTGTTGTTATTGATGATGATGATGATGAGGATGATGTTGATGATGATGATGATGATGCTGCTGATGATGATGATGATGAGATAATGATATAATATTGATGTTGTTGTTATTATTCCTGCTGCTGTTGTTGCTGATGATGAGGATGATGCTGATGACGACGATGATGATGATAATGGTAATAATATTGATGTTGTTGTTATTATTCCTGCCTGCTGCTGTTGATGACGATGATGATGATACTGATGACGACGATGATGACGATTGCGATGACGACAAAATAAGTGAAGGAGCCTATAGTGGAGAAGCTTACAGGAGGAAAGGGTAGTAATGGCGACACGATACCTAATGTATGGACAGCCGTTCTACTTCAAGCTCTTATAGGAGAAAGAGAGGGATAAGGATATCTACGTACGCGCACGGATGGGGGAGAGGGAAAGAGAGAGAGAGAGAGTGTGGAAAAGAATGAGAGAAAGATATAGATATATAAATAGAGAGAAAGAGAGAGGGTGGGTAGAAAGAGAAATCGCAAGAAATAGAGGGAGAGAGAAAACGAGATAGAGCGAGAGCGCGCGAGGAAGAGATGGATAT